CTGTGAGGGTGACAGAGCACTGGAACAGGCTGCCCAGAGAGGTTGTGGAGTCTCCTTCTCTGGAGACATTCAAAACCCACCTGGACGTGCTCCTGTGTGACCTAGTCTAGGTGATCCTGCTCTGGCAGGGGGTTGGACCAGATGACCTTCCAAGGTCCCTTCCAACCCAAACCATTCTATGGTTCTATGGTAAGAAGGGAAGAGACTTTCCACTTTTCTCCAGCTGCAAAAAGCTATTTAAGTCTGGACTTAGTATTGTCATAAGCAACACCTGCTTCATGAATTAAGCAGCCCACAGAGCTATTTAACACTTACCTAGACTTGTAGGTTTTATGAGCACATCAAGCACATCGTAAAAAGGCAGGCTTTTCAGTTGGACATCAGGATGAACAGGTGGAATTGGAGGGGATGGCTGCTGCATCTCAAAGTGGGGCTTAGTGTCTTGGAGAAGCACCGAACTGACAGGTGAGGAAGGTGACTGAGGCGTGACCGACATAGAAGGGAGTGGGTGAATGCCAGCAACAGCCAAGTCAGGCTCAACAGGAGAGGAACTATTGTTCAAATTAGTTGATATGTCTGGAAGTCCTTCAGTCGTCCTTGGGTACCGACGCCTATAGAGTTCTCGGATTTTTATCTGAACTGCTGGGCTGCAGCCACTCTTCAGTAAGTGCAGTGCCCTCATCAGGAGGTCATGTTTTCGCCCGCTTTTATTACGTCCAGCAAACCCCAACAACACTTGTAGTTCAGAAACACGAAAACTTGATACCATATTCTAGAAAGAGAGAGAAAAGCACAAGTGAACTAACAGTACGCCAAGCAGGCCTTTGAGGAGCATCTGAACTTCCACCATTGTAGTTTTACACCCATCACCTTAGTTACTACCCATACCCTTACCCAATGCAAGAGTACAGTTAGTTTAAAGTGAATAAATAGTGTCCAGGATGATGGTTGAATTTGGTTGTTATTGATTTCAAAGACTTCTAGTTGTTTTCACACTCAAAAATGGCAACAATAACAACAAAATTTTAATGCAACTCAGGCAATGCTATCTTAAATTCAGACAGAAGCATAAGCTCCAAGAAGTCAGATAAATCAGTATTATCACCTGTATTCCAATACATTTTAAGAAATAAAATAAGCAACTGTTTAAGTTCTGCATAGTTTATTTGGAAATATCCTTTATTTGGTGCATCATATTAAACACATGCAAGAACAGGCCCATCAGGTTTCACTCTTGAAAGCATGGTACAGCAAGGTGGACACTTTTTGAAAAGCTACATTATTTCATACTAACAAACTGTTTAAACAACATAATTAATTCTTCCAGAACATGACAGAAAAATTCCTGTCCTTTCTGTAGCACATTCTGGTATCACAGGACATTGAAAGATCTCTTCAAAGGAAATAATATTTACTCACTTGACTCTCAGAATTAGTTTTGGAAGACTAAGGATTGAACTATGAAGTTCATCAAGATTCTAGTTTTAAAAAAATAAATAAGCCCACTATGCAAGAAGCAGCTATCTCCCCTTCCCATTACTACAAACTAGTAACTTGGCAGAGGTGCATCATCTCACATTTTTGTGAGCAAGCTCTCTTTTACAGAGGTATAAAGTTGTCCAGAATTCTTCTAAGCAATTTCCTTCCTATTTCTGTGGGACTCTTCCACCATAACAAGGAGGTTAAGTTTTTAAGATGAAAGAACATCTGACTTTAATCTGTACTCCAGACTCAAGGACTGGCAGATGAAGACCCTAACAGAGGGTATGAAGTAGTAGACATCTGGGATCATAAAATATATTTAAAAAACAGTTCAAAAGTGCATTGTTGACTTTTAAGCAGCAGTCTAATATACAACACTTAAAGCTTTGGGCATTGGTTTCAGAAGGGACAACTCAAAATTCAATGTTTTGCATTTCCCTTCCTTAACCCTATGCAGTTACACCCATATATTCTAACAGATCTGATGTCAACCGAAATTTTAACACAACTGTGCTACAATGACGCAGACAGAAAAAAGTCTAAACTCCCTATGTACCCCTAAGCTGCTTGCTCCCTATTCTCTCCTTGATATTGAGAAAATTGCTTTTCTAGTAAAACAGATTAGGGACTTGAGCCAGATGAAAACT